ATTAGATTAAACAATGTAATATGTTATTCTTTCATGATTAAAAGGTTGTAACGTTTTGAAGATTTAGACATAATTACAGTCAATTCTTTTGAATATAATACACGGTTAAGATATTGAAAAACTTGATACTTTAGCCTCCGAGCTGAAGAATATATTGCCATTTCGAATTCTTACAAATTTGATGTCGGGAATTAACATAACGAGTATCCGGGTAGGGTTGGGTAATAGGGGGTGGGGTACCCCGATAGAATATTTTGGACCCGTCCCAGCCCAACTATGTAATATGTTTCTATCGCTTTTATCATTCCATCGCTTTTTAACAAATGTATATATACTGTTTCTACTGAGGCTATGGTTCGTGAATGCATAAACTACGTCATTCAACAGGTGAACGTTACATCTTATTCACCTGTTATTGCTAAATGTTGCTAAATCAACTCAATTATCTAAAAGGGAATTTTATTTAACCACATCCTTGACTATATTCGGCTCATTTTCACATACATAGTGAAGGATATCTAAGAGGTCAGATGTTGTCACGGGTGTCCCAGGTATCTACACAATTCGTCGTGCAAAGTTGCGTCCCTTAGTCTAGGTTTCAACGATTCAATTCAATTCTTTATTCTCATAAACCACCTTGGTGGTACAAGAGCATATATTGTAAACATTCAAGATGGAAGTAAACAACATATTAACATTTTTTTCTGACAAGAGATGATAGATGTAGGATATATTTTGATGTAAACTATGGTTACATATTCTAAATCTCAATAATGGTAAAGAAATACGTTTTGGAAGGAGGAGATATACATCGAAACTGGGAAATGGCTTAAGGTGCTGATAGTGTATTCCCTTGGGACTAGAAATACGAGGTGGCCTTAGACCTGCATGACTTCGGGTTGTCCTCCCATATCAAGCTGGCACGCCGTGATATAGTATGACCAGAATTTTTTGAGAATTTTAGGAATATGTTTAATTTGATTTCTAGTATAAACAACCTTGACCAGCTATCAAGTGCTTGGTTTTATTCAAGAGAGACAACTCCGCTTATCCCTTTTCATTAAGTTGTGAAGAGTTATCCCCCTTTGTTTACTTGCTAGCAGACGACATATTCAGTGATCCTCAGTATGGATGATTTAGAGAAGAGGAAGTTGATGTTAGAGTATTATAACAAGGACATCAGATCAGCTAACGTGATTTCAAGTAGAACAGGCATCCCTTTGTCCACTGTTTATCGTGTTTCAAAAAATATTGCAAATGGATATGGCATTGAGCACCAGGGAGGTGCAGGTAGGCCCAGAAAATTGACTGTCGGTGACAGGAGGCGGCTTGGTATTCTTGTTTCTGAAAACAAACGAAGGAGTTTAGAAAACTTAAGGCTGGATATGATTGATAGAGGAACTGTAAGGAGACAATTAGAACTGAGCTGCATGCAATTGGTTGGCAGAAAAGTCGAGGAATTCCATCACCGATCATGAAACCTGAACAAAAGGACCGAAGGTTGAACTGGTGCTTACAGCATAGACATTTTAACTGGGACAATGTGATTTTCTCAGATGAAAGTTCTGTGTGGCTGTTTCCTAATACACTGAAATTCTGGACCAAACAAACTAAAAAACCTTTGTATCAGCGCCCAAAGTACAGTGCTAAATGTAACGTGTGGGTGGCATATCTGTGTTAGGGGCAACGCCCCTCTGTGTATTTGAAGGGAATATGAACAGTGAGCGGTACACAGATATTCTCAAGGGACATTTACTTCTATCTGCTCACGTGTTCTATGGAAATTTGTGGATTTTCCAGCAGGAAAACGACCCAAAACATCGTTCAAAGCATTCACAGGCCTGGTTTCGGACCCAAAATATAACATTATTAGATTGGCCAAGCTATGGCCCTGATCTAAATCCAATGGAAAATGTTTGGGGACTTATGAAGGAAAGTGTCAATACGAAAAATCTGACAAATATTGTTGAAATGAAAGAAGAGGTGGTCCGATTTTGGGACAGCATTCTAACTTCTTTCATCAGTAGTATGCCCCGCCGCATTGAAGCCTGCATTGCTGCCCATGGTGACTTGACAAAATACTAACTGTTCCTCTGTCTTTGAATCTGGAGTTATGTTCTGCTAATATTCACATTTAATACGTGAGTAATGAGTGAAAAATATATAAAAACTTACAGTCTTTAAATTCTCAATAATGTCTGGTTGTACTTGTATACTGCTAAAAGCGGCGTAAAACTAAACTCATTCACTCACTCCAGGTTTGTCCCAGCATATCGGTGCTCGCCTGTTTCAACGAAGTGGTCTCAAATCTGTATCATTTCGGGGTGTCCTCCCATATAAAAAGCTGGCACGCTTTATGATGACAATCAAATACTTCCAGCGATTTGTTGAACCCATCCCATGGGTCATATAGACACGTGTTCAGCAATATTGCGTCATGTCAAGTAGACAAAGTCTTAATGCAACTAGCTAATAGGTAGCGACAAAGTAGCTGTTGGTGAAGTTGTTTTGATTGAGCTATATGTTGCCCGTGTCAAGGATTACAGGCAAAACTAAAACTGCGGGTCTTGATTTATAACATATGTTATATTTGGGATTCCGAGATTCGAACCTACATCCTCAGTCAGGCACCTATTCGCCAGCACACAACGTCAGCCGTCTAACCCACTCAGCTAGCTCGGCTTCCACGGAATGTTAGACATCTGGCAGTCTAGACTAGTCGATTAGGTGTCTGATTCGATCTGAGGGTGTGGGTTCGAATCCCGGATGGAATTCATCCCAACTAAATACTACCGTTTCCTATTCTCGCGGTAAACACGTTTACTGCCGATATCACCGATGCGCGACACGGAGCGGTTGTTAACCTTGCCGACCGGTAACTAGAAGTGGACCAAGTCTGCGAGTGATCAAAATCTTGCAATGTCACGAATATTGGTGAGCTTATACCAACTTGGACATATCATAACTTTTCCCAGCGCTTTCCGGCAGGATTGCTCTTACATACACTCCACAACGTTGCTTCCTCGTTATACCGCGAGAATGGGAGAAGCCTCATGTCGTCAGTGGCGGATGGCGTTGTTTATCACCGGGCTCACAAATGGTAATTCACCTGATGGATCAAGCAGCTGATAGATGCAGATGATAGAGGAGAAGACAAAAACAACAAGCATTCATACGATAAGAATTGTTTGTGTTATTTGTTCAGCCGATATCCGTACGTACCGCGAGAATAGGAAACGCCTTCATACTTGAATCTGTACTTTTCTGAGAAAATGTAATCCCAAATATAAAATACGTTACATATGACCATTGGCATTGTGTATTCTGGATTCACATTTGTTGAATTACCAGTTTGCGAAACACCCATCAGATGTTGACACTGAAAGTTACGGTGCGGGGTGTGATTCGTTTCAGCAAGGGTCAGTAAGTAGCCCTCTGTGGGGAATAGATATTGACGTCCGTTATCTGCCTGGACTATATCTGAAAGGACAACACTGATATCTGTCCTGGACATAAAAAAGTTGCGTCCTTTGATTTATAACTGTTATCAGAGGAGTGTGAAACTCACAGTCTCATGTCTTGCCTCATGACGCTAATACTGGTTTTACAATCCAAGTGTCACGTCTAACTTATGTTGGAGTTACAATCCCAGTGTCACGTCTAACTTATGTTGGAGTTACAATCCCAGTGTCACGTCTAACTTATGTTGGCGTTACAATCCCAATGTCACGTCTAACTAATGTTGGAGTTACAATCCCAGTGTCATGTCGAACTAATTACAGTCCCAGTTACAATCCCAGTGTCATGCCTAACTAATATTGGAGTTACAATCCCAGTGTCATGTCGAACTAATATTGGAGTTACAATCCCAGTGTCATGTCTAACTAATATTGGAGTTACAATCCCAGTGTCATGTCTAACTAATATTGGAGTTACAATCCCAGTGTCATGTCTAACTAATATTGGAGTTACAATCCCAGTGTCATGTCGAATTAATGTTGGAGTTACAATCCCAGTGTCATGTCTAACTAATTACAGTCCCAGTTACAATCCCAGTGTCATGTCTAACTAATATTGGATTTACAATCCCAGTGTCATGTCTAACTAATTACAGTCCCAGTTACAATCCCAGTGTCATGTCTAACTTATGTTGGAGTTACAGTCCCAGTGTCACCAGTGGAGTGTACACTAATGGAGTTGACAATCCACACGTGTCATGTCTAACTAATGAAGAGCCTACAATCCCAGTGTCATGTCTGGGAATTAAAGTCCCAGTTACACCCATGTCATGCCTAACTAGGATTTACCTGTCCCAGTGTTCGCGTCTAACTAATGCTGTATTTAGAATCCCAGTGTCATGTGTAATACTGTTGGAGTTACAATCCCAGTGTCATGTCTAGATTATGTTGGATGTTACAATCCCAGTGTCACGTCTAACTATGTTGGAGTTACAATCCCAATGTCACGTCTAACTAATATTGGAGTTACAATCCCAGTGTCATGTCGAACTAATTACAGTTGGAGTTACAATCCCAGTGTCATGTCTAACTAATTATTGGAGTTACAATCCCAGTGTCATGTCCTAACTAATGTTGGAGTTACAATCCCAATGTCACGTCTAAGTAATATTGGAGTTACAATCCCAGTGTCATGTCGCACTAATTACAGTCCCAGTTACAATCCCAGTGTCATGTCTAACTTATGTTGGAGTTACAATCCCAGTGTCACGTCTAACTAATGTTAGAGTTACAATCCCAATGTCACGTCTAACTAATGTTGGAGTTACAATCCCAGTGTCATGTCGAACTAATGTTGGATTTACAATCCCAGCGTCACGTCTAACTAATGTTGGAGTTACAATCCCAGTGTCACGTCGAACTAATGTTGTATTTACAATCCCAGTGTCATGTCTAACTAATATTGGAGTTACATTCAGGTTGTTATACAAGGTAACTCACTGGTGCTAGAAGTTCTAATGATTCACGCCTAGTACATACACAATGGAGGCTGACAACCACACGTTTCGAGTAGAGACTGAAGAGCCTCCATCACCTCTGTCTGGGAAGGAAACAAAGAACACGATCGTCCTTGGACTAGGATTCCTGTTTGTGTTCGCGTCATACTTGTCGCTACAGAATCTACAAGGAAGTCTGAACGATGAAGGTGGTTTGGGAGTTCTCTCCCTTAGTTGTCTTTACGGAGCCGCCATTTTGTCGGCCATCTATGCTCCAACGTGTATCACTGTTGTTGGGGTTAAACGATCCATGATGATTGCTTTTACCGGACATTTGATTTACGTTGCGTCCAACTTCTACCCTTCATTCGCAACTCTTATTCCTTCATCAATTATTCTTGGAGCAGTCACGGGGCCGTTATGGACATCACTAGGGATGTACCTCACCTCGTGTGCTATTTCAGCTAGTGAGCGTACGGGTATGGAACTAACCACCTCTCTCAGCAGAACAAACGGGATCTTCTTCGGTATGTTTGAACTTTGTAATATCGTGGGCAACCTACTATCGTCCCTTGTTCTTTATCAAGGTCAGTATAACAGCACCAACATCAACTCCTCTGCCTTCTGTGGCGCTAATGATTGTCCACAAGAAGAAACAGTTGATATTATCGCCGATCCCGAGCCAACTGTGGTTTACATACTTCTACGGGTGTTTCTCGGATGTGTCGCCACGGGTCTAGGGGTTGTCAGTGTATTCCTTCAACCGATACAACATCAGTCACCAGCCAACAAGAACACCATCAGAAAGTCACTGTGGTCCTGGTTCAGACTCATCATCCAGATGGATATCAAGTTCCTGCTTCCATTTATGTTATACACAGCGATAGAAGAGGTTGTGGTCTTCACTGAACTAACCAAGTCCTACGTCAGCTGCCCTTTCGGGATACAAAATGTTGGGTACGTGATGACAGCATACGGGGTTTGTTCTGCCTCAAGCAGTTTCCTGTTCAGCAAAATAGCTAAATATGCACGACGATATGTGTTACTGGGCCTTGCTGCTGTTCTTCAGATGGTGCTGATGCTGTGGTTGTATCACTGGGTTCCGTCCCACCATGACATTCACTTAGTATATGTTATTTCTTCAGTGTGGGGAGTGTCAGAAGGTATTTGGAAAACCCAGACGAATTCCGTTTTAGGGGAAATATTTCAAGACAACAAGCAGTCAGCATTTGCAGTATATGAGGGTTTCAAATCGATAGCATTTACCTGTATCTTTGTATACAGCAGCATGCTCTGTACTTCTATCAAACTTATAATCGCAATGACCTTCCTAGTTCTGGGAATGACCCTGTATGCTTTGGCTGAAGTCAGATATCTGAAGAGATCCCCCCAAAGGACGTCTGAAGACGACAATGAAGAGGCTGCTAAATTCGAAACTGCGGTTTCCTGAAAAATTTAACCATGTCAGCTTTGATACGAGTTCAAATATCGAGAATAGAATATTCAGTGAAAATATTGTCAAAGGATACAACTGGCTCTGTTTGAAACGTGCGTATCAGGGTACATACACCTCCAGAGTTCCCAACTATCCGATTTCGGCTCCCTGATTAGCGGATTGGTTCTGAAACAGCACAGAATATATATTTCATTTGGAAGTGGTTATTGACGAATGACATTGGAATTGATATGCCGCATTTCAGTATAGTTTATAGCTCTCGAGACACTGTTGATATTACAAAAATAGCAAATGAAAAGCAAGATTTCATGTTCAACAATTTCTTAATTTCGGCTGTTCCGACGTGTATATCTATAAGCATGAGTCGTATTATCACTTTGATTTTTTTTAATAAACTTCAACATTGTAAAATAGGGTCGCTTCCTCGTTTATGCATCATTACGTAAAGTAAAACTAATTGAACGTAGATACATATTATTCATAATGCATTAACATTCAGTTACATTCCGACTGCAGTTCATGACAGAAAAACTATCCAAGACGTAATACTGTGAGACGAACTTAAGAATAATGCCGACCTGTCATTTGAACCCGTGAATCTGAATAGCGGTGCAGTTCATTTTACCATTAAGGGGCCGAGGGTATGTAAAACGATAAACTGCTGTGAAGCGTGTCAGTCTACTCTCGCTCTTCTGGAACGGGTGCTATTTGCTATTTTGTGGTTGACGATGTCCATACACAACCCAATACAACACTCTAATTTGTTTTGTGTTTAACGATAGAAAAAATTACCAAAAGGTTAATATCTGTCCTAGCCTAGGTTCTGTGCGTGTGAATATTTTATGGATAATACGTTTCTGCTGTCCTCGAGGGGAATGAAATAACGTTATGTAAATTCAAAACGGGGTACTAATAAATAAAACAAACAAACCTTAGTAATTTGATTGCTCAGTGGTGGTTTATCTGCTATTTGCTACATGTAAGTCTCTTGAATCTGCTACTCGTCATCAATATCACTGATATCATTGTCATCAGTATCGACGCCAAGTTTGATGTCAAGTTTTTCGATTTCATCCTCTAGGGCAATTTCTCGATGCCAGTAACGATCCTCAATTTCCATCACATGTCTGCAACAGTCTGACCATTCCTTTTGGCCAATAGATGTCAATCGTTCTTCGCAAGCCCTCTGTGCAGAAGCCATTTTGAAAGCTAAATTCAGGGACCCAATCCAATTTTTCAAATTCGCCCAAATTAATTATATGGCATTGAAATCGGCGTGTTATGGGGGTAATCAGAGAACAGTATGCCCATGGGTTTTCATAATTTCATCAACATGATATACGGGGCCGCGCGGACGTGATTTCACAAGTGCAAGCAATTCAGCCTTCAACATTGAATGTGTAAAAGGTATATCATGCCTTTGTAGCCACGATTTGATTTCATCTTTCCGATTGGCTGTTGTTGGAGCTTTGTCTATTTGTTTGCTATGGTAAGGGGCATTGTCCATTATAACTACTGAGTTTTGGGGCAGATTAGGAATAAGTTTTTCTTGCAACCACTTAGAGAAAATGTTGAAATTCATTTCGTAATGGTAATCGCCGCTCTTTTGTTTGGCTTTAAATATCAAAGAAGCATTAGGAATGAACCCCTCATATGTACCAGCATGGACTATAATTGATCTTGGACCTGTCCCCGATGGTACCCGAACACCGCCAACTGCTCCCTCCTCGTCAGTTTGCCAACATTTTGATACTCTGTGATGGGCGTGTACCCATGTTTCGTCGATGTACACGATTGGACGGTTTTCTTTGCGGTACTGGCGAATCATTCTGAGATATGATATGCAACAATGTCTTTTCGCTCCATGAGGACCTGTCTGTCTGAACGAGTTTTCCGCCATTTGAAACCAATTTTTCTTGAAAAATTTACGCATTGGTTCTTTACTCCCTGTATATCCCAAATCATCAGTAGCCATTTTCATAATGCTTGTCAGTGTTGGCATTGTCTTGGTTACTGTGTAGCAGTGTTGAATGTACTGGCGAATTGCGCATTTATCAAAATCATCAAATTCAGTTTTCCCTTCTGTACGAGTACGCACTTTCCCTGGGCTTGTGAACTTACTGGTACCCATCGCGGGAACGCATTTACCTTCGTCATATATTTTGCGCAAGATACTGACAGATATACCAGTAGCATCGCTGGCTTTTTTGAGTGCACTGTGTGTGCTGTCGGAAATAGTACACATGTACTGAATGACATTGTAGGCGACCTCACTTGTTTGTGAATGAATGACTTGGCCCCGTTTACCCAATTTAGAGTGCGATATGATAAGTTTCAAATACAAAACAGTCCACTTTACAAGATACTAGTATACAAATGCTCCAGCAGAAACACGACGCTTCCGAATCATTGCGTAGAAAGTGATTACTGCAAGGATCACAAAAATCACGTGCGCCAAGTTTTCACACCTGTTACCCATTCGAGTAGGTAGTGGATCAGTTCACGGCACGCTCCCCCCTCTCCTTTCACAAACGCGAGTTTCGCGCACCTCATTCTGATGTTGGTTGGACAGTATTTTAGAAACACGGTCGGTGTACTGTAGGTCACCTAAACGATTTGCAATCCAATCGTACTTCAGGGACCTCAGCCCTGAGTCTATGGCACAGTATTCCTCTTTCTGGTTGGTTCTCGTCCTTGTCCTTGAAATTTGTTGAATTTTCACCTCAGTCGCAGATTGTTCTTTCTGCGACAGATGTACACCTTCGTAGTTGTTGGGGTGGCTTTTCTTTGCGAGTTTGTTCACCTTGTGATGCCACCCTTCCAGGTGGCTATTGATGCGATGCCCGTTATTCTGAAAGTGGTTCTGTGTTGACTGAGACCAGGAGCCCTCAATCCAAGTCGTCGTCACATAGTCCATGAACTGAGTCGCCTTCTTCTCACCAGCTGGAGCATCGGCCAATGTCCAACCACACATCTCTACACTATCCTCTGGCACTAGAGGAAGACCAGCTGCACGTCTCACAAGCTCCTTAACTGCTTCATCGTTCTTGTATTCAGTCGCCAGTCTTATCTTCTGAACCCCGCCGCCAAACGCATTAGGTATAATGAAACTCGCAGCCAAGAAGAAATGGAGCAGGAAACAAAGATCTAGCAGCATTGTGGGAAGCACGCTCGACGTCCATCTGAAAGGTTGTCGTTGCCAAGGGATGTCCAAGATTCAGCTAAGAATCTCTCAGGCAAGAGAAGAATCTTGTGTAGGTGTCTTCTGTTTGGTTCGGAATAAGCGCGAAGACAAGTGGTAGCATGTGTCCTTGAAAATATGCATGAATGGAATATACATGTAGCTGGTGAAACAACCTTGATGCTGAAGAAAAGGTTCCACTTGCAAAGAGGACAACTGCATCAGAAAGATTCCCAAGGTTCTAAAGATCAGCATTGTATCTGGACAGTCTGGGGGTATGCAGGAACCTGTCTCCAGCTTGTGTCTTCGTCCTCTGGTCTTCTAGGTTGATATCAGGAAGCGTCTGCGGGAGTTCGGGAACAGCCTTGTGTCACTGCCGGTACATGCTGGTTCTCACTGCGTCATAGGTGGGTATATTCTGCAGACGATGTCGGGGTTGCGTCTGGGGTTGCATATTTCTTCTTGGTAAGTCTGCGGAGTCGGGGTTGTGGTGTTTGTTCTAGAACGGTGGTAAGTTAGGATTTGAATACGGGAGCTCTGTGGTTGTGCATGTGGCCAACCATGTTGAGAATGTTGTCAACTGTCATCAGTAGATAGAATACTTTAGATACTTGTTTTAGAGGTACTAACACAATTCAAGGTAGATCTATGAAGTTGAAGTTATTTTTTAAAGTCCTGGCCAAGAGGGACCGAACACCTCTGATATGGAGACCATGCTGGAAATATGGAAAGAGGTCTTCACTTTGGACAAAGTGGTTGCTTAAAATACTTCACTTTGAGACTATGTAAAGTGATATTAAGGTACATATATAATATATTCTACAGGTATAAACACAATTCAGGATACATCTGTGAGGTATTAGTTGTTTTTGATGGCCTGTCCCAAGCCGGACCGAACAGAGACCAAACACCCTCGATTGAGGCTATGTTGGAAATTAAAGAGAAAAGGGCTTCCTTTAACGGACCAATTATCTATAAGAGTGATGTATTATGACGTTACATAGTGGTATTTTGGTAGATATAATACTAGTCAATGGCTTAAATACAATTCAGGATACATCTGTCATGTATAAGGGGCTTTTGACAGCTCAGGCCAAGTCGGATCGAAGACTTGTGCTAAAGAATGTGTAAAGAGAGCTTCACTTTGAGGAGCGTTTTCCTTTTTAACAATACATCTCTTTGATACTATATAAAGTGGTATTTTGGTAGACATAATATCAGTGCATGGATCAACAAAATTCAGTGAGTTTTAAGTTGTTTTTGAAAGCCCGGCCTCAGCCAGACCGAACAGAGACTGAGTGAGTGAGTTAATATTTAACGTCACATCGGCAATATTTCAGCCATATCGTGACGAGAACATTTGACATTTAAAGAGAATATATATACAGATATTATAAAAACCTGCCAACGAAGGACAGTAAAACAACTAGAATATCACAGATATACATGTAAAACTAGTAATTAAATCAAAAAAAATTTAACTTTAGGGGACAGCACAATATAAAAATAGGCAATAGATCGCCAACAACTGAAGGTAGATCACCATACTAGGGACCATGGGGACTTACATTACTTTTGCTACCTGCATGGACCCTAGCTGGATTTACACCATCCCTTCAGCTGCTGGCGATTGGAAGAAATGTTAGCCAAAATTAAAGAACAAGAATACTACGTTTAAAAATCCTGGCAAGTTTAAATTGACTTTGAAAGTTTTGGGACTTACGTACCCTCTCAGGAGGACAATAATTTTACGCTACGTCAACCCCCTTTGAGGGTACAGCCACTAACAATCTCAGTTACTAATAGAAACTAC